TCCAAGGAGTTCATCCACAGCTCCTTCCCCACAGGACAGCAGCAAATTAAGATCATTGCCAGCCTGGGGCAAGACTGGAAAGATCCAAACTCACCTAACAGAGAGTGTGAAGTCTCCTGGGTTACTTTTGCTGGGCCGTGCCAGGAAGCTGCCATCCACTCCTCTTGTTAACAGCAGGTTTTCTGCCTCCACCCCAGTGATATTTGGATGAAACCATCTACAAGAGGTTAAAAATAAAGAATGTTAATAAATAAACAGCAGGTTTTCAGAGTTAACTCGCACAGAGCAATCTGACAGCTTCCAAACTGAGTTTTGCACCTGAATTAATAAATTTTCTCTTTGTTATTAGTTTCGTATTGCAACTTTATATATTGCAATTTTTTGTAAGCCCATGAATTACACTTATCCCCACTCTGCCTGCCTGGATCAAAATGATATCAAAGGTACACAACACAAACACAGACCAGAAGCGGTATTTCCTTACTCCAGCAAAACACAGCACACAAAGAAACTGAAAGACAAACAGGAAAAATACCTAAAAATAAAACAAAACATCCAAAGTGACACTTGACAACATTCTGAAGGTTAAAAACTGAACAAAACCTCATGGTTTATGGCACAGCTGAGGGGGTCAGGAAGGAACTCCCCGTGTGGACACCCCACTGCTGTTCCTCCCAGGAATGTGGAGCCGGGGTCGGATCTGTCCCGCTTAAATACAACCACAGAGGAATCTCCTATTGATCCTTGCCACCCACAATCTGCCCTCAATGACTATCCCAGAGCCCAGGCAGAGCTGGGGCTGGGCTGTGGCCAACAGCTCCGTGTCCCCACCTCTGGCATTGACTTTGGAGACTTATTTGGAGCCACTCGGTGTCACCGCTGCCTCTGCTCTTATCTGGAATTTACCCATTTTCACTGCAGCCCTGAAGGAGTTCTGTGTGAAAGGACTTGGTGAGGATTTTAGAAGGGATGTGAGCACCCCAAGCTCAGCTCTGTCACCTTTGCACTTGGCAATTAAAAATCACCTTTGACTTTCAGAGTTAAATCCTCATTCTTGTGTGCTGAAAGAATTCAGCCTGCTCCTCTCTTTGTCCATCTCTGGCTTTTCCAGAGTACAGCAAAATATATTCAAAAAAAACTCCACAGCCAGGCTCATCACAGAGAGAGGAGTTTTATACCCAGAAAAATTGAACAGCATTCCTGATCCTTCCTGATCCAGTCAGCATTTCAGGCTGAACTGCAAAATCAGCAAAATATGAGAGCACAGGTCTAAATTAAGGGTAATTATTTCAATTGTTGCAGCAATTCCTTCTCTGCTGAAAAGTTGTCAATATTCCCACCAAAGCCTTCTCCAGACCAGTCTCTTCAGAAATGTTCTGGAGTTTCAGGATTCTAGAGAATCCAAATCTCTAGCAAGTCATTCAAACAGGAATTAAAGTAAATTTCAGAAGTAAATTGTGCGAATCTTCTTGTGAATCTTTTTTCCCCTAGTTAATAATATTCTACTTGCACCATGAAAATCTAATGAGCAATCCCCATCTTTCACTGAAGAACAAGACTGAAAATATCAAATTTATGCATAGGACATGGAAAAAACCATTCAAAAATACTTCCAAATTATCACAGCAAATGGGAATTAACTAATTAATAATGTTACATTTATCTAATGATTATTCAAAGGTCAAGGAAAGTTCTCACAAAAGAAACTGCACAATCATCTGCACCTGGGATGAACTGAACATTAAATAACACAGCCCACAACAGGTTGCATGGAGAAGGTGATCATATATTTACCACATTTCCCTCCCAAAATTTTACTTCCATTAGGAGAAAAGAAAGAAACAAACAAAACAACAACAACAACAAAAAAACATAAAAAATGTGTGTAGTTTGAAGAGTTGGCAAGCTTTTTAAATATGCACAGGATTCAAGAGAAACCTCGGTAAGTTTTGGAGTTAATAGCAAAAAAATGTTTAAATAGACAGAGAATAAATTGTTTGGATTGGTTCTCCAGATTTATTATACTGACATTCCATAAACTTTAACCAATGGAATATCTTCTGCCCTGCAATGGAATATCTATCCCACCCTGAACCTGAAGGAAGTAGCTGTACGTGATTTGCCACAGCAAAGGAAAAATAATCATTTAGGTACAGAGGCGACTACAAATAACCTGTTATTTAACCAGCATTTCAAGGAGAGGTTAAACACACAATAGATGGTTCAAACCCCAAAAATCTCACTCCCACATCCACACAAAGATGCCAAAAGCCAAGTGCAGCAAAGCCAAGCTACACCTGGGAGGGTTTTCTGGCACTTTATGTAACTCTGGCTCTGCTGGCACCTCGTCCTCCTGCTCCCTCAGCTCCGTATTTTTGGCTTTGAGTAGGAAGCTGCATTTGTCAGCCACCCCAAATAGCAGAATGGGGGTGTCAGTGATCCCTGCCAGCGGTTCCGGCCGCGGGGAGGATCCTCCTTGAAGTGCTGCCATCCCTTGTGCTCCCAACCTTGGGGCTGCAGCCCTTCCAAACTGGGAGGGGACAGCAGAGCGCTCACCAGTGACACCCCCCCCTCAGCCAGGACCTGCTCTCACGCTTCCTTTTATAGGGATGGAATGCATTTTGGGCTTTTTATCCTGCTTTCCCTCCCCATCTCGGTGGGAGCAGGTGCAGAGCTGCCCCAGCCAAGGGCAGTGAATACAATCGCAGAAGTCACCCAAACCCACGCTCTGGTCAAACTGGCTCCTCACCATCCCTCTTGCTGCAGTTCCCACTCCGGGACTTGGAATACACCCTTCCCAGTCCCTGATCAGTTCACAGCAAGGTGGAAATGTTGGTAAAAAAGTAACCAGTGAAATAGCAGGGGCTCATTTACAAAACCAAGGGGGTGTCAGCAAAGCAGGGAAACTTCTGATGAAAAAAAAAAAAAAACCAGGGTGGAAACATCTTTCCCACAATTATCCCTTTTTTTTTGTTATCATGGTCCAGCAAAGACCAGCAGGATCTCTGCTCCCTAAGTCACACGCTGCCAGCACATTTCCCTCTTACCAAACAAAAAGAAATAAATCAATACCATTTTCCATGCAGTGATTGGGTTTTTTAATCACCTTTGCAAGAGCAAAGGAGAGATGAAATCAGTTCTGTCTCAGCTGTCACAACCACAGCACTGGGGATGTGCTGACGGGTACTTTAATTACTCCTATTTATAGGCTCATCAGTTGATATTTCCCAGTTTTTTTTCAGTCTCCCTCACAAGTTACAATTCAGGGCTCTGAGTTGAGTAACAAGATTATTCCTGGCAAGGAGGAAGTTCACAATGTTGCCAAAAGGTAACTTGTAGCCTTGTTCCCAGCGTGAGCAGGGACACCCAGAAAACATAACATAGACTCAAAAACCTCCATGCAGTCCAGAAATCCCCAAATCCAACTATAAATAGCCATGATTTGAAACCAGCTCATCCAGATTCACCATCTTGAGCAGAAGAAAGAGGGCAAGTTACCCTTGGAGAAATTATAATTTAATAGGTATTACTTATAGAGGTGAATAACTTGAAATTGTGGCTGCCCCATCCCTGGAAGTGTCCCAGGCCAGGTTGGACAGGGCTTGGAGCAACCTGGGATAGTGGAAGGTGTCCCTGCCCATGGTAGGGGATGGAATAGGATGAGCTTTATGGTCCCTTCCAACCCAAACCCTTCTGGGATTCTGTGAAGCTCAGAATAGGTCTGCCAAAAAAGGATAAATACATTTTTACTCTTTTCTATGACAATAATTCCTCTAAAGCCCAACATTCACCCAAACCTCTGAGCCCAAAAGGACACCGGGTACCAGACAAATATCAAAATACATTAAGGGCAGTGAGAAGCTACAACAAAGAAATGGGTTCGCCTGTTTGTCACGGCACTTGAACAGTGCCACAAGGGTCTGAAATGACGAGTGAATGCTGATAACTGATAAGAACGCAGGTGTGGGGAGCTCAAGAACACTCGTTTGGCAGCTGGGTCGTGTTTCAGGGTCGGTAAATCAGCGGCGTGGCCCTCGGTGGAACAGGAACCCTGGGCCTCGGTACCGAGCAGGTCCCACACGCCAACAATTCATCCCTCGGCTCCGGCGCTCCGTGGGGACACCCGCTTGAACCCCCCCAAACCGGGGGCACCGGGGCAGCTCCGGCCGCCAGCGGGACTCAGAGAGACTCGAGGCCAGCCGAGCCCTCCACCCCCGGGAGGTTTCCCTGGGAAAGGGATCCGGGAGTGGGGGCAGCCCCCCGGGAACGGGCGGGGTGGGCGCTGCCGGGGGGGAACAGCCCCCGGGAACAGACGGGAGGGGGCTCCGGGAGCCGGGACATACCTCGGGAACGGCCGGGGTGGGCGCTGCCGGGGCGGCCCCCGGGGGTCCCTCCCGCCCGCAGGGAGCGGTCCCATCCCCGCAGCCCCCGCGAGCGGGCGCGGAGGCGCCCCAGAAGCAGCGGCCCCTGCCCGTCGCCCTCCCGCCGCTCCCGCCTCACCTCCGCGATGTCATCTTCCCCCGTGGCCCCGGCGGGTCGCGGTGCGCCGGCCCCCCCGCGCCGCCCGCCGCTCACATCGGGGTCCTGGCGGGGCCGCGGCCTTCGGGCGCTGCGGGGAGCGCGAACAACGGCGGCCTCGGGCCCGCGAGCGCGGCGCGGCCCGCCCCGCGTCACCGCCCGCGCCGTCATCGCCCCGCGCCGCGCCCCGCCCCGCGCCGCCGCTCCGCCCGGGGGGCTGCGGGACCCCCACCACCGGAGCGCCGTGGCACCGGAGCCTCGCCCGCGCACGGGACGGGGAGCCGGCCGAGCCCCGAGCGGACGCGGGTTAAGCGGAGGCGGAGCGGCGAGGCCGCTCTCCAGGCCGGGGGTCCCGCAGCCCCAGGAGCGGGCGCGGGGTCTGGTGTCCCCCTCGCTGGTGACCCGGGGCTGCCCCGGGCAGCGCGGACCTTCCCGGACTACGAGTCCCGTGCTGCCCCGCGCGGCGCGCTGACGTCAGACGCCGCGCTGTCCTTAGCCCGCGCACCCGGATGTGAGTCCCTTTTGCTCCCCCGGAAGGTGAGGATGGCGGAGCTGCCGCTGTCGGCGCGGGCCCGCCGCGCTCCATCCGCCGCCATCCACCCGCCCGCGGACCCAGCGCGGTCACAGGCGCGGCGCGGCAGCCTCGGGGAGCGGCGGGGAGCCCGGATGGCGTGGGGGTGGGGAGGAGCGGGAGTGTCGCCGGTCCGAGCGGGCCAGGCCGCGGCGGGATGCGGAGGCCGCGCCGGAGCCTCCCGGGAGCTGGGCTGGGGCTGGACCGGGGAGGCCGCTCGGGCAGGGCCCGGCAGCTCAGCGGTGCCGGGGCAGTCCCGAGCCGGGACAGAGGCAGCTGCAGGCTCGGAATGTGTTTGTTTGTCCTCGCACTTCCCACCGAGGAGCGCTTGGATGTGCGCTGGAGCTGTTGTAACCAGCGTGCAGGAGCATTTTAAGTCGCGTAGAGGCGCACAGGGAGCAGGGCTTGGTCAGCTACGGCTGGAGGAGGTGGCTGACAGCTACTAGACAGGTGGGAAAGATGGTTTGGATTCTTTTGTTTTTATTTGCTCTGTAACGAGCCCTAAACCTTGCTGTCTGTGACCGCAGATGGCGGGCGAGAAGGCGCCGGAGAAGAAGCCAGCTGAGAAGAAGAAGCCGGCCAAGAAGAAGGCAGGGGAGAAGAAGCCGGCGGAGCAGAAGCCAAGCCAGAAAGCAGCAGGGGACAAGAAGAAGAGGGTGAAGAAGTACCATGCCAGCCGTAACCCCGTCCTGGCCCGTGGCATCGGGAGGTATTCCCGCTCAGTCATGTATGCCAGGAAAGCCATGTACAAGCGCAAGTATACGGCCCCAGAGACAAAGGTAGGGGGGGAAGCACTGGGGGAATAGTCACGTTTGTGTTTTGGTTTGAAATGTGCTGAGTTCTCCTTGTTCTTTGCACACAGATAGAGAAGAAGAAGAAGGAAATGCCCCGCGCCACCATCACTAAGCCAGTGGGTGGAGACAAGAATGGAGGCAGCCGGGTGGTTAAAATCCGGAAAATGGTATGGAAAAGCACCGGGATGCTCGTGGTTTGGTCCAGGCTGGGTGATGAAGGAGCCTCAGCCTGTACAGACCCAGCATTCTTGGGAAATGATGGGAATTTAGGTGGGAATTCTCTGTCCTGTGCGTTGCTGTGCTGAGGTGGAAGCACTCATAAATACAGAGCTGGACACAAGATATTCCAAAGCATTCCGTGTGTTCCCAAGCACTGTCTGCAGCAGAAATCCTTCAGAAAGCTGAACTTTAGGGAAACGGGGACAGGCTTTTTGAGGAGCTGCTGTCCTGTGAGACGCAGGTGGTACAAGATGTTTGTCCTCTGTTCCCAGCCCAGGTACTACCCCACGGAGGACGTTCCCCGGAAGCTGCTGAGCCACGGCAAGAAGCCGTTCTGCGAGCACAAGCGGCGCCTGCGGGCGTCCATCACCCCCGGCACGGTGCTGATCCTGCTCACCGGCCGGCACCGCGGCAAGGTGGGCACAGCTCCTGGCACGAGCGTTTGGCAGAGTTTCAGACATCCTGAATTTCCTAGCTGATTTCACCTGACCCACTGGGTGTAAATCTGTGACTTGTGGCTGGGTGCTTTCCTTGTCCAGCCTTTAGGGGAGGCAGAGGTGAAATAAATGTTAAAGTAAGGTTGTTGTGCACAGAGAAAGTAAAACAGGTTCAGCCAGTTGCTTGGACAAAATGCAAGGAGTCTTGCTGCAGTACAGAGCCAGTGCCTGTTTCTGTTGCTGCTCCTGCAGAGGCAAAACTTTATCCTACAGCAGTACTGCAAATGAAAAATTAAAGTTTCATTCTTAATTTGATTATCGGGGATGGTTGTATTGGGTTCTCTGTCCTCAGGATGGTCACCAACACAACTGGCATCCTTTGTTTTCTTGAATTCTCTGGTTTTTATGTCCTTGATTCCATAAAGAGTGCTGTCAGAGAAGGAAACCATGACCAGAAGGAACAAAACACAACAGGGGGATGGCTCTGACTGGGTGAAGTTATGGGGTCCTTGTGGTGTTTATCCAATTCCTGCCTATAACTCATACAAAGGATTTGGGTGCTGGGATGGCTATTGGCCATTGGTAGGATGAGGGAAGGGTGAAAGTGGAGTTACTGGCTTGGCTCAGCCTTGAGAGATAAAGCTCATGGAGAGTCAAACTCAGTTATGGCACAGCTGTCCCACACCTGGAGCACTGTCAGTGCTTGTGCCAGTAACAGAGGCACAATCCCAGTTTGGCTGTGGTCTGGGGGCACTTGGACCTGAGGATTGATGTGCCATCTCATTTCTTTACAGCGTGTTGTGTTCCTGAAGCAGCTTGATACTGGCCTTCTGCTTGTTACAGGTAAAATTTTTTGTTTAAACATGATATTTTTGTTTTGGGGTTTTTTTTTTTAAGTTCAAGTTTGTCTCTGGGCTCAGTAGTGCAACAGATCTGCATGTGTTTGGTTTGGCATATCAGTGGGGAATCACGTTTTGTGGTGGAGTCACCACCCCTGGAGGTGTCCAGGGAACAACTGAATGTGGCACTCAGTGCTCTGCTCTAGTTGACAAGGTGGAGATCAGTCAAAAGTTGGACTTGATGGTCTTGGAGAGCTTTTCCAACTTTAATGATTATGTCATTTGTGAGTGCAGGGAGGTGGAGGGGAGATAATTAAGTTTCAGGGTCTGATGACCTGGAAGAGTTCAGGAAGGAGGTTTTTGTATTTCTAGAGGGCTTTGACTGTTGAGATTTCAGCTGTGGCCATCACATGGACTACAAAAATTCAGCTTCAAGTTTTCACCAGAAAAGCTAACCCTGTTTTCTCTTGTCTTCTCTGCCTTCAGGCCCCCTGGCTGTCAACCGTGTCCCCCTGCGCAGGGCCCACCAGAAATTCGTAATTGCCACGTCCACAAAGGTGGATCTCACTGGGGTGAAAATTCCCAAGCATCTCACTGATTCCTACTTCAAGAAGAAGAGGCTGCGGAAGCCCAAGCACCAAGAAGGAGAGATCTTTGACACTGAGAAAGAAGTAAGGGACAGGGTGGTTCCTTCTTTATCAATGCTCCAGGCTAGGCTGGAAAGGGGGAAATAGCAGGAAAAAAACAAGTAGATTTTAAGCAGTCATTAATAAAGTGAGGTGATGCCACTAAAATTATGTAACCCCCCTTTTAAATGTGGGGATTTTTCTCAGAGGAGAAAGAGTTATTATTCCAGTTAAATGTCTTTTTTGACCATGAAATGCTTTCTCTGTGTTGGCTCCAAGGGGTGCTTCAGTGCTCCACCACCTTCCCATTATTGAGAACAAATAGGGGAAAGATTTCTTAAAAATCCCAAAACTCAGGGTTTGCTGTGAATTTTCTCCTCTCCCTGAAGGATTCTGCAGTTGCTCCCAGGATTTTAATGCCGTTCTTTGTGCTTTGCAGAAATACGAGCTGACGGAGCAGCGCAAGACAGACCAGAAGGCCGTGGATTCCCAGATCCTGGCACGGATCAGGAAGGTGCCTCAGCTCCGAGGGTACCTGCGCTCCACGTTCTCTCTCTCAAATGGAGTTTATCCTCACAAATTGGTGTTCTGAGCCTTCTGGAAGCACCACATTAAACTCCAAGGGAAAAAAAAAAGTGAGGGTTTGTGGTGTGTTCATTGCAGTTTGTAACAGCAGGTGTTGCACGGCTCTTGCAGTGCTTGTTGCTGTGGGGTGAAACTCTGAGGGGCTGTAGGTAGTGACCAGAATTTGGAGTGTACAAAGTTTGGGGTGTAGGAGTTTCGGCTGTTCGAGTTTTGTGGTGGTTGTTGGATTTCTTTCAAATACTTTTAATATAAACAGGAATTCAGCTTTCTTAACTATGAGCGAGCTGGGAAGGGATCCTGAACATATTTTGCTTTGGGAATAGCAGCTAATGCTGGGCTGACACAGTGCAGGATAAAATATTTCTGTGCTGAACCTCAGCAAATAAATAACTTTATGGAGGTATTTCAGGAGCTATGCTTTGATTTTGAAGTGGAAATAGTCCACAGTTTTGCAGGATAAAAGTGTCTGAAAGTGAGTGGAGAAGGTTAGTGCTGTGTTGAACGCAGCAGAAATCAATGCTCTTACACAAAGCAGGGATGTACAGTTCACCAAGTCTGGCACTCTGGAGCTCTTCCTTAGCCAGACTTCTGCAGGAATCCGGGTTTATGTAACTGCACCATCTGTCTGCCCAGTAATTCTGAGCTGAGGTAGCCAGCAGGGTTAGACTTGACAAGAAGTGGAGATCTTACCAAATTCATCAGGCTCGATGAAAACGGGATAGGAAAGAGCAATACCACCCTCTCTGAGGTGGAAGCCATGCCCAGTGGGAAGGAGGAATTGGGCTTGGAGTGCTCCAGAGGCAGTGCAAGAACTTGGACACCTGTGGAGTACCTGGTTTGCACGAAGGGGCCACAGTCTGGTGCTGGTGGGTGTTAAAAGTGTCTGGAAGCGAAAGCACTGGGTGCTGCCACCATCCTCCTGTTGATAATTAACAGGCTGGGAGAGCTGAGGGGTGTCAGCCTGGAGAAGGGAAGGCTCCAGGGAGATCGTAAAGCCCTTTGCAGTGCCTGAGAGGCTCCAGGAGAGCTGGAAAGGCACTTGGGACAAGGCCTGGAGTGACAGGACACGAGGAATGGCTTCCCTCTGCCAGAGGCCAGGATAGATGGGATATTGGGAAGGAATTGTTCTTGTGAGGGTGGGGAGGCCCCTGGATCCCTGGAAGTGTCCAAGGCCAGGCTGGACAGGTCTTGGAGCAGCCTGGGATAGTGGAAGTGGCAGGGGTTGGAACAGGATGAGCTTTAAGATCCCTTCCAAGCCAAACCAGCCTGGAATTCTCTCTGAAGTATCAGCGAGGCTCAGCAGAGGGAGGCAGTGAGCTGGCAGTGTCCAGTGCAGAATTCCTGGCCTGGCTGGGAGGGATCTCTTGCTCTGTGCTGTATTCTGCCCCATGTTCTTTATTTCCCCTGTCATTGGAGTTTTGTCTGTGGTTGATTACATCCTCTCCAGTGTGTGGTTTACTGGATAATGGGATTAGTCAGAGATTTTTAAGTTAAAGGGAGATTTTTCCTGCAGTTCTGAGAATGGCTTGTTGACATAAATGGGCTCTAAAAAGATAACAGAAGGGTTGTACACATCTCCCTGCTACTCCTAAGGTAGCTCTAAGAAAAACCTTAACCAAATATGCTTAGAAAGTTCGCTTAAATTAAAAATGGTGTGTGGGAACAGTGAAATGGGGAAAGCCCCATGCAGCAAGGAGAATCAGAAGAGTATGAGATGTGGTATTGTAGTCTGCAACCCCAAATTCAGTCACACACTTGTGCTCTTGAGGGAAAACTGCAAGAGGTATTAATGCTCCAGTCATTCCCTTCCCTCTGGGAATGGGGAAGTTGCAGTAACGAAATAGCCCCAAAACCATTTGGGTGTGGAAATCCAACCGTGTTCTCTGGAATTCTGGTTGCTCTGACACGTTCCTGCTTTGTGCTTGTTTGCTAGGAGGGGGAGGCTTTGTCTGCCAGTGTGCTGCCAGGAAGTGATTTGGAAATGGGAGTTGGTTATCAACAGATGCTGGTCTGGAGCAGTGGCGTCACGTGCTGCCGTTGCCCCGTTCCTGTCACCTGTGTGACGAGGTGGTGACAGGAACACACCCTGCAAGGGAGGGAGGGAGGGAGAGATCTTTCTGCCTTCAATCCCTGAGCTGAGTCACTGGCCCAGCTGGATGCCAGTGTCACACCAAGGGATGTGGGAGCAGGAGAAATTGGAACACCAAATCCTGCCTTCTCGAGGCTGAGCAGCTCCTCGGGCTTTGCTGCAGGAAATGGAGATGGAAAAACCCTTGTATTCCATAAGGAGAGGCACCAGCGATCAGCTGTGATGTGTCTGTCTCCAACCTCCCAAATATTTTCCCTGAGTTCTGTGAAATCTGCCTTCTTTCTGAAAAGCTGCAGGGTGAGGGAAGGAAAACAGGAAAAATGAGGCCTGTGCAGGTGACCAGCACAGAGGGGGTTTTTAATCCGGATAATGCTGGCCCCTACCTGAGCACAACTTGCAGCACATAAAGAGCCTTTGTGTGTGTTCTGGCTGTCCACAGCATTTCCCATTCCATGTGAACAGTTCTGCAGCTGGGCTCGCTGAGTCACTGCTTTTTCCTGGGCAGCCCCCACAGAAGAAGCCAGAGACATCCAAAGCCTCCATCACCCAATGAAAAGTGCTGGAGATGTGCAGCTCCAAAAATAGTGACAGCCTCAACCACAGCAGCACTTCATTAGCATCAAATGTGCTCTTTGCTTCAGCTGCCTAATAAAGTGATATGTAATTATAATAAAGCATCCTTTGGAGAGGAAAGAGAGGGATGTTGGCTTTCCCAGGGAATTGATAATAAGATGTGATGCTTTGTTATCTCCAGGCACCTATTTTTACCTGTCAGCTGTGCAGTGACCTGGTGGCTGCAGTTCCAGCCCAGTGAGGCTCTGTCCAGCTGCCACAGCTGGGAGTGGGCTCAGACACACAGCCACTGCCCTTATCTCTGGAATTAGAGTCCCATGAATGGGACCAGGATCCTCAGGAGAAACTGAGGCTGATCTGCAAGACAAAGTCCTTTCCAGTGCCAGGTTTGTAGAGAACAGTTACCTGTGGCATTTCAGCCATGCCACTCTTGGGTTTAACTTCTATTAAGAGAGGATGCTCTGGCTGGAGTGTGAAGGTGCTTTCATGGGATTCCCACACCTTTTGGGCCAAGTGGTGAGGAAAATTTGCCAGATTCCCAGATGCCCAGGGACTGGCTGCTCAGTTCACCTGTGCTGTAAGATGTGCCTTGTCATTAAGGAGAGGCTGAACCTTTTCCTGCCTGTGTATTTCCATCTGAACCTGCCCTCCCTCCCCTCAGAGTTCAGAACTGTTGCAAAGAAATTCACTGTGGATGTCCCCACGAGCTCAATAAATAATAAATAAATGCCAATCCTATGGATACACCATAAAGAGCTCCTGCTCCTGTCCTGGTTTGGGAAGAGGAACTGAAGTTCCCAGCCACTATTTACCTGTTAATTGGAGTTCTCCAGTTCTCCTGCATTGCAGTCTGCACTGAGCGCCTGACAACTCATTGCTTAAGCAATTAGAGCAATTAAATAATTTTTATAAGGATCTTATTCATAATAGTCCTTGCTATGTTTTGTTCTGGAAGCCACTGGTTGAGCAAAGCCAGGCAGTGCCTGAGTCACTGCAGAGGGTGGGTCTGGGATGGTTGCATGTGGAATTTGACACGGGTGCTATGCAGCAACCAGGACATTTTTCATTATTTAGTTACTTTTTAATTATTTCTTTGTTGTTTGGGGTGTTTAGATCAGAGCAATCTTAACCCTCTCCCAGATATCAGTCAAAAAAAACCCCATTTTTGTCAGCTGGCTGGCTTTTTTTGATCACTTTATTTTTCCCCCCCATTATTTCAGTGTTTATCTCAGGGGAAATGACTTTACATGATGGATTGCACACAGAGCCAGCATCTTCTCTGACCTAAGCATGGTTCACACTCCATCCGACATAAACACTTATTAGTTGTAATAGGGATGAGGAGAGAGGAAGCACAGTAGTCAAAATAGGACTGGAGATGAAAGAAATTCAATGTTTTTTCCTCAGCAATATTGATTTTCTGTGTGATCCTGAGCAAGTCACTTATTTTCAGAGAGGTCTGTGCTCACATACTGCAGAAAGCAGAAATACTTTCTCATGTCTGGTCTCAAGAAGTGTTTTGAACTTCAGAAAATGGAAAATTTATGTCCATTTTCTGAAGTACATAAAAGAATAAGCGGTCTCTGCTTGGCTGACACAGAGAGGACCTGATCCATTAATCTGATCTTGTTCTATGAGATCATATCAACATTTCAGACTAAAAAATACAAAAGTTGTGCTGTGTCGAAGACTGGCACAGGTGTCACAAAGAATAAATGTTCTCATACTCCTATTTATCAGTTTTAATGTCATTTTTTTTGCAGAATTTAGGCTGTTTTATTTGTACAGGGCAGCAGAGCTCAACAATTCAGACTCTGGAGCCATTGGGTGTTTCTGCAGTTGCCCAATTAGCAGTTCCTGGTGCTTTGCCTGCAGATTGGTTTTAATTATGATCATAATCTCATATTTTACATCTGCTGAGCACTTTGGCCTCGTGAAACCCAGCACAGGTCAAAAACTGCCATGAGAACATCAAGAAACCACACAAAGGTAAAATGATTTCTCCAGTCCATTGGAACAAGCCAGTGGGATGCAGAGAACCACCCCAAGGAGCACAAGGAAAGGCTCTAAAGCTCATGGAGAAAATAAAGATTAAACCAGAACCAATTCCATCTTCATCTGTTTTGTCTGTTCTAGTGGATGTAGAGGTTTTCCTCTGGCCTGACTGATGCCTCAGGATGTAATTGTTTTTAAAATTAAGGCTTTCAAGTATCACCATGTGATACTGTACATGGGATCCTATTGTTCAAAATGGCTATTTTGACAAGAGGAAATAAAACCCAAAGTAAGATGTACGAAAGCAGTCCTTGGTTCACAAGGGAGGAAGGGCATTTTTCAAAATAAGGCCCTAAAAAGAGCGATGCACCCTCAAAATGATGGCACCATTCAAATTTCTAGTGAGAGTGTCCTGCTGAGCTGAAAGGAAAATCTCTTTTGTGGAATTTCATAGAAATTGGTGGGGAACCAGAGTTCTTCCTTGGAGAAAATACAAAAACACTGAACAAATGTCCCTGTGGAATCGGGGAACTCAAAGCACAGCAGCTCCTGCTCAAAGGAGAGGCACATGGCAGAGCTCCTGTGCACTGCACATCGTCCACATGGCTTCCCTGGGGCCTGACAAAGTGCAAAAAGGCCACTGGAAACCTGGAGCTTTGTATTTGTGGAAGAGATAAAAGCCAAACACATGCCCAGAGCAGGGGCACAGAGGGAGAAAAAGGAAAACTGCCTTTTGAGGCTGCTGA